AAGAAGAAGAGAAAAGGTCTGGTTCAAATTAGGAAAAGTCAACCCTAGTTTCGGCCAGACCTGTTATTATATTATTAATATAATTGGAAAAGACATAAGTGCCCTTCTTTAAGTAAGAGGCACTCGAACTAACATAATAGTACACATCAGCATTCTCAACAGGTACAAAGACCGAAATACCCCTTCACTAACAAAAAGGAAGAAGGAAAGAAACCTGAACAGCACGGGGAGAAGACTGAGGAGTACTGGAGATCAAAGAAAAAAAATAAAAGACAAAATAAAAATAAAAAAGAAGAGAAGAAAAGAAAGAAAAGGGGGAAGATAATGAGAATTGGTTCCTGGAAAGTAAGAGGATTCAGGAATTCAAAAAGAAGAGAAGTGATCAAGAATATTGTCAGGAATTTCAAAATTGAATTTTTTAAGGATACAAGAATCAATATCGGAGGAGGCTGATTGGAGGATCATAAGTGAAAGCCGCGTCTCAAGAAATTGGGATTGGGTGGTGTTGGAAGTAGGTCTGTCAGGAGGATTGATCTCTATTTGGGATTCATGGGTAGGGAGCAGATGTGGAGGAGATGGAGGTGTTTCATGATGCAGGGTTCAACTCGCAGCTGATGGAAGGGGGAGGGATTGAAGGGATGTCTGGGGCCATGCGGGGCTTCAGAAAGTTTATGCTGTGATCTTTGGTAGCTGGTCATTTTTTTTTAAGTAAAAAAAAATATTTTCATTAAAAGGAAGTACAATCTGGATAGGTGATACGGTAGCACCTAAACCACCGAGACTACAACAGAATTGGAGCAGCAAAATTTCCAGATTACAAATTGAAATACAGCACCTCCCAATGACAAATACTAAAAACTTCTCTCATCACTGAGAGCATTGGCAGCAAAAAACCAAAAGCGATGAAATTGCCACAGCCACCCCCAACTTCTACCAACTCCAGGGACCTTCACACCCAAGATGGCCAGGCTGATCCTTCTTCCCCCTCCCCTAAACTACTTAAACTTCCAAAGCCCCTTCACTCTTCTTACCCCCAACCATCTTCCTTTCCCTCCCCTTCGTCCCAAATCTCACCTCCCTCCCCCATCCTGGGAGTTGAGATTGCTATAGCAAAATTTTATTTGAAGTTGCATCCTCTGTGCAGTGTACTGGGAAATTTTGGAAGGATCAGAAGAATTTTCAAAGGAAAATTGAAAAGCATCAAATATATTGGATCATTAGTCAGTTCAAAGTTAATTGGATGGGTTTTAGTACTTCCAGAATTTGAAAGCCTCAGCAAAGAAACCTTTGGAGTGGAATGTTGGAGTTCCTGGAATTTTTTAGTCTTTTTTGTATCTTGAATTAGTGATCTTCTTCAAAGGAGAATGGTTGGCTGTACACATGTTGACATCATCTATACAGCCTACTACAATGGCAAGTCTCTTAGGTTGACACCATCAATAGGATCTAAATTAAAACTTTTCCTTAGCTTAGGAATTAAATTTGATTTTGTATATATAGAGAGAGGAGAATAAGTAAGAAGAAGAGAGAAACAGAGAAGAGTGTGGAGACCAAGAGATTAGAAAGAATATATTAACCTTATGTACTTAATAGTAAAGAAGGGTGGAAGTACAAAAATATCCCCACACTTGTAACTCTATGTTACTATAATATGTTATGCAAGATTATCGGCAGCATCAGATCAACCCTACCTACATTTCTACATGTAATGCTAAAAGAAACTTACATCATTCCTAACCACAGTAGCATGTGATACAGTCCAACCTATAGAATGAAGCTTTCTACACAATGATGGACCCAGTTGGTCCTCAGTGGTTCCAAACCTGAGCTATGAAACAAGTAGAAGAGAATATATCAGAAAATTAAATTCATAATTAACAGGAAAGTTGATAAAGTTAACAAAAAAATGACATTTGTGAGTACAGAATTAGGATGATTTAGTCATACAGATTGGTCAAACCTGTCTTTGAATATGGTATGCTGATTTAAGTGGATTTGGTGCATCATGTGCAGTCCAGTAACCATCAGCTTTGGATATAACCACTACACTCAACATGATGAAACAAATCCACAGTGTTAAAGACACCGAATTTAAAGGTTGGCTTGATCAACCTGCATGCACAGGAGCATAGCACTGCTCATAAAGTTAACATAAACGCAACCAAGTTGAACTCGAACCTAACAACCTTTATTAGCAGACATGGGAACAACCAAACAGGCAGCTCCTTTGAATAAATCATCATCAACTAAGACTTTAGAATTGGCTAATCAAATTCTTGGGCAATGGGTGTTGTTCAACCGTATCTTTAAATCATTCCTCAGCACCTCAAACAATATGCCTTTCGATCTTTCCCTAACCAGTTTAGAGCCTGCAACTTGCACCAAAATACTCCTTTGTGGTGCCATAATTGTTCAACCATACTTTCCTTTTACCTTTATTTATTTATTTTTTTATGGTAGCACTGGACACTTTCTATTTTTTGTCCTTGAGAACTTGTTACTAGGCCATCTCAACATTTCCATCTTAGGTACACTTGTTGAACCTTCAATTTTTTGTTTTCATTTTACATGCATACAAATTTCAAAAGCTCAAACTTTTGAAGAGAATTGGCAAGAGTGTGGTTATGTTTGTGACTTTGTGTGCCTTAAAACCTATAGAATCTACCAAGGACACAATAATCTTGATATTTTATTCCATCAGCTGGTAACTTATGCTACACAAACTATGATTATATAATTAGGGGGAAGAGGTGGGCTGTTGTCAAATGAAAGAGATTATTTTTTCTTGGGAGAGGGGGTTTATTGGAGACAGAGAGAAGGTGGATGGTTTTGGAAAAGATTAAACAAAAAATACAGGATAACCAACAATAAAAAATCCAAATAAAACTTATATAATAAAAACAAGGGACTTACAGAATCTCATCACCTACAGCAATAACTGAAGCAGTAAGCATGCTGCTTACATGCAAGTCTGTACTCTTCAGACCATTGCTCACACCAGGAACACTTCTACTGACCATAGGTGAAAGTTTGTTTGCCCGACCTGCTCTTTCTAATCTTCCATCTGAAAGCAGGTATGCAGGTTTAAAGTTCTCTTTGCTTCCGGAGGAAGAGGCAATAGTTGACAATAATGCATTTGGACGTGTGTCATGTATGCTCCCAATGGAAGTATAACTGTAAAATACAAGAATACTAAATCTCAAAGAAGAAAAGTGTTCAAGATGAGAACAACAATCCTATAGTTCAAAATGAAGATGTTTAATATGCATCAACAACCAAAATTAACACAGTTATTTTCATAACCTATCTTATTAAAGTTAATAAGCCCAAAGATACTCTTAAGACAATCAAAAAGGGAAAATTTACCCTCTATCATAAAGACTGCAGTATTGGACTTTGCATGTTAGAAGAAAGGCCCATACATCCCTGTCACATAAATAATGGCATTACAACTTCATTTGTATTTAAAACAAAATCCAAATATAGCAGAATAGTATTTTCTCTTCATAAGCTACACCCATAAGCATGCCATAAAATTTTTCTTGTTTATTTTTTCCTTTTAATTTGTTTTTTTTTTTTCTTTTTGATTGGAAATGGTAACTTTCATTGATAAATTAATAAGAAATACTGAACAAACACCCCAAAAAGGAGTGCTGAACCCCACATAGCAGTCCCCTATTACAATGTTGCCTAAAATAAATCGACCCTGGTTGACCCTTGTTCTAAACCATCAACAAAGCCATTGGCTGACCTTCTAACCCAATTAAATTTACATCAATTTCCCTGATCAGCCACCATATTTCTCTCATGGCTTGTCTATGTGTCCGCACCCCAAAATTTCCTTCCTGCATCCATCCTATTACCAATGCTGAGTCCCCTTCTGCTTCATTCTAATGGAGGCCCAGTTGTTTTCCCAATCCCAGCCCATGAAGGAGGGCCAAGACATCAGCCCTTAGTGAGTCTCCCACCCCAATTGGCCCCGAATATAGGGATAAGAGTATTCCATCTCCATCTCTTAGAGCTCCAACTCCCAGTGGCCCCGGATTACCAAGTGAGCTCCCATCAAAATTCAGCTTAATTCTTTGTTGTGTAGAAGGTGCCCAACTCTCCTGAACTAAAGATTTAGACCTTGAAGAAATTGCTAAGGCATTCCTTAAATAAATCCACTATTGTAACTCAAATGTGCTACCTTGATAGTTATGCGGTCAATCAATTCCTCCTTTGACTTTTCTTTCCCTTGAAAGATCCAGTTGTTTCTTTCTTCCCAAACCACTCATAAAACTGCTGCCCTTGCTACTTTTCATAGAGTTCTTCTTTCAGCTATCTAAAGAAGATTGCATCAAAGAAGCTTGCCACACTAGAAGGAGAAATCCACCTGCAACCAAAGAGAGATGAAAACCACTCCCAAATACTAGAGACAAAAGAGCAGGAAATTAGTAGGTGTTCATCTGTCTCACCGCAACCATAGCATAGAACACATACACGAGGAGAAAGGCACCAATTTGGCCTTCTTTTTTGAAGTACATCACACATGTTAATCCTATTGTAAACCACTTCCCGACAAAAAAAAAAAAAACCAACTTTAAGAGGCATCGAGCTGCACCAAACTTCTTTAGCTAGAAAATGCACTGCCAAATTAGAGGATTGAAGGAGTACATTGAAAAAGGAGGAGCATGAAAATAAACCTTAAGGGGAGGCTGACCAAATCTTGCTATCCTCACAAGATGGGTCTAGAAAGGCCAAGTTCAAAAGGGGGAGATGCTCATCAACTACCCCCATTTCAACCTTTCTTAGCCCTCTCCTCAGTCCCAAGTCCCAAGAATCCCCATGACAATGGATAGAAGAAATTACTTTTCACTTGTTCAAAGATATGGAGTATAAGGACAGGAATCCATCCATGAGAGCTGAAACCCCTAACCACACATCTTCCTAGAATAATACTTTACTGCCAAAACAAACATCATACCTAAAAAGAGGAAGGATAGAGAAGAGAGTAACATGCATGGCCTTCCAAGGAGAAGAACGTGTTGCCTAAAGATCAAAACCAGCATCCAAGCCATTTGTTGCCCTCATGAATACTCACAATCACCTTATGCCACAGTCTATCCTGCTTTAAAGGCCATCTCCAAATCCACTTTGCTAGTGTCTTTTTCTTAATATTTCCAATGCCTAAACCCCTTTGCTCTCTACTGCTAGACCCCACTACCCACTTCACTAAATAATAGACCAGAGAGTTAGATAAAGTGGATTTCTTCAACGTTATTTTTCACCCAAGGAAGATATAATTTCTTTTCCACCCAGCTAGTTTCTTTTCAAATCTTTCCAGGACTGGGGACCAAAATTCTTGGATTCCCTCCAAGAGGTAGACATAAATATTTCATAGGCCAATCACTTCACAACCTAGAACTTCAGCCAGGTTACTCACATCCTCTTTCCCCTTAGAACAAGGTGTAACATCTGCTACTAGCGTGAACAGAAAAGGAGAGATAGGATCCCCTTCTCTAAAGCCTTTTTTTCCCAAAAAGAAAACCTTAGTCACACTATTTGCCAAGATGGAGTATCGACAATTGAGATACATCCTTTAATCCATTTACACCACCTTTCACCAAAACCCTTTAACCTTAAGACTTCTAGAAGAAACTCTCAATCCACCATATCATAAGCATTTTTCTTTTTTTTTTTTGATAAATGTCTTTTTAATTTTTTGATAAGCCATAAACTAAAGATACTAAATTACTAATATATAAGTTCTTTAAGTAAAAGGCCATTATCTAATGTTGGTCCCAACTATCTAGGGTCTTGTGAGAGGTGGACCGGATATGGACCTAACCTTCAGCATTTATTCTTTGAACAAAGTGGATGCTCTCAGACTCAAAGCTACATACTCAAAATTGTTGACACGAGATTTTACCATTACACCAAGCAATAGCCCCTAGAAGTTATACAAGTGTTAATATGAAATACCAAGTAAAGCCCCTGAGGGATCAAAAAATCAAGGAAAACCCTAGCCCTCAGTAGAAGATCAAGACTGTAATCAGTCTTGAATCCTAATAGGTTTTAGGTTTACAAAACAGAAGAAAAGTGAGAGAAAAGGAGAGAGAATAGAAGAGAAACAAGAGAACACAAGTGGTTGAAAGGAGGGACAGATTCTTACTGATCTCCCGCTGCCACTTTCTTATTATTTATAGGTTATGTTTAGTACATAATGGAAAGGACACATCTGCCCTTAGTACTTACATAATAAATAAAGTAAATAAAAGTTGAAATAAATAACAACTAAATTAACAAACTGACTCAAAGTGACACTATTATAACTGGAACAAATAACTACACATGCTGTCTTACAAACACAGTGGGGACCACTGCAGTGGGGCCCACATCAGTGTTCTCTACACTCCCCCTCAAGTTGGGAGTAGATATCTATCATTCCCAACTTGGATAGGTCTGTCTCTAACTTCTTCCTTGGTAC